GACTTGTTAGGAATGGGAATTTCCATTTCAAAGGAAATTTTGACACACTACCACTTTTCTTTCTGTTGAATTAGAATGAAAGGTACAACATCAAAGAAATTCCCATAAAAGGCAAATTCTGTAATATTTCAGTTCTAGGCCATTAAAATGTTTGTATCATTAGCATTTAAAACATAATTTTGACTCTGATATTACCATCTTAAATATATCCATATGTAATGTTAAATACAAATATATTAATATAAGTTGTTATAAAATAAAAATCAATTGAAATGACACACACAAAATTATTTTATGTTTTCCTGTCCAAAAAGTTCTTTGAACTAAATCTGTTTCCATGAAAGAGTTCAATTTCAATAAAACTGCATTTTTGATTAAATATTGTATAATCAAATATTTTGCCCATCTCCCACCTATAGAGAATAGCCTGTCTGTTGTTGTTGTTTGCTTGCTTTCATTTGATAAATGAAACTTTCCTAAGTTGCACTCCTTCAGGTGTTGGATATACAGAGCAAGCTGGAATAACAATTACCATGGTAAAACATTAACAACCCCCCTGTATTTGATTTGCTGCTGTGGCAAGGCTAGTCATTAAGGGCCATATTCTGCCTTACTTACCTGAATAGTGCCTTATTCTTACTGATTTAAATTGGTCTCTTCATGGAAGAGTGTACCAACAGACCTGCCTAAGGAGGCAGAATCGGCCTTTTATGGTATGAACACGTGAATAAGTTACTACAAAGTAAGCTGGGATGTCAGCTACTCCATGTAAGTCTCTGTACACCTGCTTACTATGTGATAATGCAAAGTAACTTATCCCTCAGTGAAAACTGGGTTAGCTACGCTGCCTATACCTTGGGAAAAAATAGCATGTCCATGAGGAGTTACTGCAGAGTAGTTGGCATGCTGTAGGTTTGTATCCTACCTTATCTGGCAAGTAATTAGTTTGTGTGCCCATACCTGTAGTGTTACACTACCAGGCAGAAGACTGCATTCAGCCATTTGTCAGTGTCGTGTGTCAACCATGTACACAGACTTACCCCATTTGTCCTCTGTGTACCTCAGTCAAGGGTGTCTGCTACAGCTTTGTTACATGTTTCTGTCTTATATGATTATTTAATATTGATATGTAACGTGACACATTCCCAGAGGGAAAAGAGTGTGATATATGAGCAACCATTTCCTACTTTTTCTAATAAGAAATGCCCAGGAGAGAGTTGGGAGAACTGTAGCTCTTTCCTTAGCTTCTGTAGTTTTAGGAAAAGTGGTGCTTGGCTTGATTTGAAAGCTCTCTCTGAGTTTGATTTTTGGAGTCCAACATGCAGTCTGGTGCACTTATGAAGGTCCCATTACTGGGATGAAGGAGAAAAGAAAACTATTTCCCTCCAGGTGTGGCATTTCAGGAAGAGGTACAGGAATATGTCTTACAGTTCATTAAGTTGTTTCCCTGTAAGGTTTTCAAGAAGTTTTTCAGCAGAAAAGAGACACTTTCAGAGAAGAGAGAGATCCAAAGAGCACCATTCAGTTCAGTTATCAAAGTGCTTCCAGTTGATCTGTCAAGTAAGTTGAGAGAGAAGAAATATTGAGCAAGTCCTGTTTAGTGTGATTGCAGAGAATTTTAATAAATAATAGTAAAGAACTGTTCTTATCTCTTCTGTAGCACTTTGCCTCATTGCAGGTCGGTGTCAATCTTCTGTTTTAACATTTTACATGGAAAGCCAAGGCAGAGTGACTTGTTCAAGGTCACTCAGTGCTCTATCTGCTTCCACAAATACAAACATAGGAATTAACGCAGACTTCCTGTTAGCGTTGTCAAATTGTTTTTTTGTTCCCGTAACAATCTGTTACAGGATATACATTGAGACTTTTCAGATGAACACTTAGTTAATCTTAAATAACAGTCTTAATAAAAATCAGATATTATAGTAGAACCTGCAAAAGTATTTTAGCCTACTTTTACTGGCAAAAGCTGCTGACACTTTGACTACTATAAATATTAATGTTGAGTTAAATGCATCTTTCTAAAAGTGGGTGAAATGAGGAAGAAATGCCGCTAACATACATAGAATCATAGAAAATTAGGGTTTGGACTAGTTGTCAAAAGGACAACTAGTCCAACCCCCTGCTCAAAGCAGGACCCATACCCAATTAGATCATCCCAGCCAAGGCTTTGTCTAGCCGGGTCTTAAAAGTCTCCAAGAATGGAGATTCCATAACCTCTCTCTGGGTAACCTATTCCAGTGCTTCACCACCCTCCTGCTGAGTTTTTTTCCTAATATTCAACCTAAACTTCCCTTGCTGTAACTTAAGACCCTTTCTCCTTATTCTGTCATCTGTCACCACTGAGAACAGTCCAACTCCATCCTCTTTGGAAACCCCCTTCGTAGATTCTGGGTACCTGGAGGACTGAAAATATTGCATCAATACTTGAAAGGAGATGATCAAGGGAATTATAAATAGCTTAGCCTAATGTCAGCCACAGGTAAAAGGTTAATTTGGAACTTTATCAACAAAGAATTGGAAGGTAAAAATAGAATTAATGCCAGGCAGCTTGGTTTCATGGATGGGAGGTATTGTCAAACAAGTGTGTTTATAGTCTTTTTGACAGGGTAACAGGTCTGCTTGATAAAGACAATTGTGCTGATTTAGTGTGCTTGCTTTTCTCAAATGCTTTTGGCTTAGCACCACATGACATATTGTTTTTAAAAGTTCCATTATACCGAATTAAAAAGCACGCATTAGCTGAATTAGGAATTGGCTCGCTGACAGATGTCAAAATGTAGTTGCTAATGGAGAGATCTCAATGAGTGTGGCTGTTTAAATAGCTGTTCTTGATCCAAGGCTGTGTAATATTATAATCAACTGTTTAGATGATATAAAATCTTTGGTAAAGTTTGAAAGTGACATACAGATAGGAAACAGAGAGAGACACATTACTGTTACAGTATGATCTTAGTTTCATAGTTAGTAGGGTCGGAAGGGACCTGAGCAGATCATCAAGTCCACCCCCCTGCCATGGCAGGAAAAAGTACTGGGGTCAAACGACCCCGGCATGGTGTTCATCCAGCCTCCTCTTAAAGACCCCCAGGGTAGGAGCCAGCACCACTTCACTTGGAAGTTGGTTCCAGATCCTAGCCGCCCTGACAGTGAAGTAGCACCTCCTGATGTCTAGTCTGAATTTACCCTCTGCCAGCTTGTGACCGTTATTTCTAATCACCCCTGGTAGTGCCCGGGGGAACAGGGGCTCCCCCAATGCCTGCTGGTCCCCTCTGACTAGTTTGTAACAGGCCACTAGATCCCCCCCTCAGCCTTCTCTTGTGGAGGCTGAACAGGTTCAGGTCCTGTAGCCTCTTCTCGTAGGGCCTGCCTTGCTGCCCCCTGATCATGCGAGTGGCCCTCCTCTGGATCCTCTCCATGTTGTCCACATACCTCTTGAATAGGTCTGGAATAGGTTGGTTAAGTTATGGTCCTCCACCACTGTGTATTGTAAGACAGCCAAATGCAGGATAATACACCTGTAACCCAGAAATGCAGATTTTGCTTCCAAGGTAAAAGATTTTTTTCTTGAAAACCAGTGGGCACGTGTCTACCCATGCATTAATGTGCTGTGGTTTCTGCGCCTTAAGTTTTAGTACCTATAATAATTGGTGCTAACTAAATGTGCAGTAACCGGCACTACTGCACAGTAGCACAAGCACATGCCTTTTAATTGATGCTAATGTGCAGTAGATTAATTCTGCTGTGCATTAGTGCAATATCATGGCTTTTGCTGTGACACACTAATACCCAGTAGAACTAGTCTACTGCGCTTTAGCGTCTCGTGTAAATTCATCCATTTGCACCTAAAAAGATTTAGGGGTAATGACAGGTGACTGCCTCAACATACGAGTTGTTGGTGCAGTACCATGGCAAAAAGGGCTAAGCTGATCCTTGGAGGATCTTGTAGAAGTAGGTGACGCTCTTCCTAGTGGTCATAGCAGTGACAAGGCTACTACTAGAATGTTGTGTCCATTTCTGGGGTTAACATTAAAAAGGATAGATATAAACTCGGGAGCATTTAATGGAGGGTCACTGAAATGACTGGAAAATGAGCCTACAATATGAGGCTTAATGAGCTAATTGCAGGGAAAGTTGAATATATATAGGGCTATTTAGTCTGGAACATATAAGACTGAGAGGGGATTTGATAAGAATCTTCAATTACCTGAAGAATGATTATAAAGAGGATGGAGATGAGCTTTTCTCTGTGACCACGGGAGACAGAACTAGGAACAAAGCCCCAACCTTCAGCGGGGGGTTGATTTAGGTTGGAGATTAGGAGGAACGTTTTTACTACGAGGGTGGTTAAGCATTACAACAGGCTACCTAGAGAAATTGTGGAATCTCCATCCCTGGACGTTTTCAAGAGCAGTTTGGATGGACACTTGGCTGGGATGGTTTAGTTGGCAATAATTCTGCCTTTAACTGGGGTTGGATTAGATGACCTCATGAGGTCCCTTGCAGCCCTTCTTTCCTGTGACCTATACAGGAGGTCAAACGAAATTAATTTAGCAGTACTTTCTGGCCTTAAACTTTCAGAAAATGCAAAACTCAACTTTATCTGTAATCAGTCAAAATTCCTTACTACAGTATTCTTTGGGTGTTGAAATGTTAACCATGTTTTCATTGATGAGATCAACCACTTCATGTTTTTTATATCAGTACTTAGAAAAGTCATAGACTGGTAGCACTCAAGGCAACAGTAGAGCAAAATAAAATCCTTAAGCTTGTAAATGTATTTAAGTGAAGAGAGCTAAGGCATATGTATGAAAATGGCTCTTGAACTCATAGTTAAACAATCAACTCTAACTTAAAGGCTAAAGGATTTATAACCTTCCTGTCAGTGACTGTTCCTGTGTTAATGGTTACTCCCCTACATTTTTCAGATCTTTTTTCATATGCACAGATGTGCTAAATGGTACATTTATGATTTTTCTTTTTTTTCTCCCCTCCCTCCCTAGAATCCCTCGTTGTTGAATGACAGAGTGACCCTGCATCATGTTACTGCTGGGACTGTGTTGTCAAGGCAGGGAGACCAGGTAAGTGTACTTCATAAAGTGAAGGGTGACATGGCAGAAAAGAGTCCACATTACTTCCCATTCATTACAAGCCCATGGAATCCTGCCAAGGTCCTGGTATACTTCTGACAATGGATTGTTGTTAAGATGTGTATTAAACTGTACCTTGTCATTTGAAGCCTTTGGAAGTTCCAGGTCAGTTCCAAGTCTGTGCACGTGGTTTCATCAATCAATGCTTCATGTCCCCACCTGTAAAATGGGGGTTACAATAGTGACCATACAGACAGAGGTATAGGGAGAATAAATTCCCAGGTGCAATGAATGTGAAGAGCACCTAATGATTTGGATGAAAAGTTAGGTTGAAAAGGGCAGTTTAGGCATTTTTCCCTCCTCAGCGGGAAGCTCACCAGAGAGAGAAACTGTCTGGAGCTTGTATCATAGGTGAGGAGTCATGCAAAACTGCAGTCCAAATGCACACAGAGGAAGAGGGAAATTCTTTCTCCTCATCTCCCTTGCACAATATTGAGTTGGTTCTATAATTGGAGAACCACTCTTTGCTATCACCTGTTGTCTGAGCCACAGCTTATGTGCTTTGCTTTATATGAAATAGTATGTCCAAAAGCAATAGAAATCTGCATACTTCTGACTCTTGCTAGCTTACACTTATTTTCATTGGAAGTTATGTGATATTTGTACAGTGCAAGTGTGCAGTTACTTGTTTACAAAAACGTATCCTGCAATGTATGATCAAAGTTACTCATTTACCTTTTCTTCAGAATACCTTTTCTTACACATCCAGGGTTCTTTGCAGATTGCTGCATTTTGCAACAAGCAGAAGATAAAGATTATTATAATACCACTTGTAGCTGATGTAAAAATGCATAAAACAGGGGAGTGAATGAGGGGGATGAATTCTGGCTTCAATCCCAGTGCTTACCTATTTTGTTTTGCCAAAGCACAGCATTACCCAAAGTGTTCTGCTATGAATACCTTATCTCCACTTAGAATTGCTTGTCCATCTCTTGAGATCTGTTAGTCATGATGACCTTCCTGATCATTCAGAGAAAGATCTGTTTCAGTACTGGGGCTGCAGCAATTGGCAACAATCCATAAAACTGTTTTTAACAGTTCACAAATGTGACTGCTTATACTGGATAAATTCTTTAAAACCCCCTAGAAAAATGTATTTTTTTTGTAATATTGTCACAATAATTATCAAATTGAAACTTGTGAGGATTTATAATGAGGAACTTTGTGTCCACTCTTTCCAGGATGTTAATATCCGGTTTGTGATCTCAGGGATGCTCCATGTGTACCAGCGGAAGATAGACTCTGAGGAAGACACTTGTCTATTCATCACTCATCCAGGGGAAGTAGTAGGCCAGCTAGCTGTCCTTACTGGGGAACCTCTCATCTTCACCATCAAGGCCAATCGAGATTGCAGCTTTCTGTCCATTTCCAAATCCCATTTCTATGAGTGAGTCATGCCTTGGCATAGTGTATTGATTTTGCTTTTTACAACCATTCTGAATACATTTTGGTGTTTGGAAAGAGTGTGTGTGTTATCTGCATTGCTAGAACACATATGACAAAAGGATGATCTATGTGAGGAACTTAAGTTGCATTAGACTATAGGTTACAGCATCCTGTTTCCAACAATGAGCAGTTCACAGAACTTAAGAGAAAAGTACACTGTAACACTCTCAATGGTGAGCATCTTGTTGTATGTTTGTGCAGAGTTTATCTTGTTGGATTCCTAGGTGCTACAGTAATACAAATAATGAAAAAGTCAACCTCAGCCCATGTTTAGGTGTTTGAAGTATTTCTTTGCAGTGACATCTTTGTTTACCAGAGAGCCATCCTCTTTCTCTTTTTAACCATAGTGGAATTAATGAGCTACATTTGTAACAGTGAGTTGCAGAGAGATACAGAGTGACTCCTTACATGGTTCCCGCATACACCAACAGGTCAAGTCGAGTGAAGAGCACTGCTTTGTCTACAGACAGAGCAGATATCTTCCTGATCCCTATTTATTAGTGGTTGGTTTGTGCCTTAAAGCGTCACAGCAAAAATGCCATGGTTTTTTGGGTTTTTTAACCTACTGTATATCACTCTGTGTGTTATTTTCTGACATTAAGCATTTAATCCTCTTGAATTGTGCTATGATCTTATCACTGAGGTCTTATAACTAAGTTCATACACACAGTGGTTCATAAAATATATCTATTTCTTAGATTTAAAATGGCTGCTTTTTCACTTTGTAATTGAATGTCCCCTAGTTATTGCAGAATAAGGATAAGCAGGATTTTTTTCTGGCTTGTGCTCTTAGGACAGTTCATTGTTTTGTACATCTTGGCCCTATTCTTTTTATTTCTTTTCTAAACCCCAATCTTTTAAATTTCTCTCTGTTTTTAATTAATTTCATGACCTGTCTCAAGGCTCTTATTTTTGTGATGACTATGACTGAACACTAGCTCAGGTGACAAAGGACCGTTTATTCATAAAATAGTACTCTGATGTATTCAGTATGTTCTCTCCCCTTTGTTAAACATCTTCTCCTTATTCAAACTTTAGTCCATCAGATAGATACTCCCTTCTTGTCCTGTACCAGGTATCTGTTATCTACATTTCCTGTAGACACTTTATTTTCTTTCTTTCTGTTCCTCAGTCCCCCTCTTTTTACTTAGCGACTTCATATTTCACATTTATGTCCCACCTGACCCGTAAGTTTCTCCTGCCTTTGGCTTCATTTCCTCTTTTACTAGTCAACCCTGGGTTGACTCTCCTGCTAGCTTGGTCTTTTCTTTGCCAAAGTTCCCTTCTGCTGATCTCTCAAAGAGTTGAGAAGCTTCTCTCCAAACATTTCCTTAACTTTCCACTAGCCATTTGCCCTCTACCATCTGTTCACAGGTCTCCAGCCCATCAGTTCTTGTACACCAGTCTTAACTTAGTTCTTATTTTTTCTTCTCTCTGTCTCTCTCTCTCACTAATGGCTCTGTTATCAGTTTACTGTGTTCTATTATCACCTGCACCCTTTCACCACAGTCTTTTCCAAAACCAGGCTCTTTCCTTACAGCTATTTCCACCACACCTATGGTCATGTCAGTCAGTACTTCAGGAGAAAGTCTTGGGGTAACATGCTCTTCCTCAGTTGTTTTTTTTTCTCCTCCTTCAGTTTGGTTGTGAAGAGAGATGTTGAAAAGTAATACGTAAAACTAGGTATATTTAGCATTCTCCACCTTCACTGAATCCTAGATACACAATCCTCCTTATGTGCAGTCTTGGATTCCTGTATATTTCACACAGGATCTTCCTATCTTGTTCTCATGTCCCCAACTAGTAAAAAACTGTTGTAATCCATCAAAATTCTCTTGAAACTCTTTCCTTCTCTTTGTCTTTGACTAGTTCTATACATACATTTCTCCTTCCATTATATTGCCACTTAGCAGTAGGTGAAAGCTGCCCAGGTCTATCATTGGAAAGTAAAAGACAAACAGCATGGCCATGATTGCCATCAGGTAAAAAGTGTAATATTGCAAAACAGCAGCCTAGCATTTGGAAATACTTGGATTCCAGGCTGTAGATTAAATTTCCCTCGCTGATACTTTGGATCCAGGAGCTTTTGCCTGGTACTTGATGCTATTAAATAACTCTAAATAGGGAGATTTAAGTTGAGGGGTGACACAAACTGCTTATATAGTTTTCTACTAAATGCCCTCTTAATTTCACCAGATTGATGTGCTAAGTACAGGGTGCTACACTCTAACTTGCGGTGTCTTGATGAATAATATAATCAAGTTGTCATCAAAGAGTCTCCAAGAGGTGTATGTCTTCAGCACTGAGTAGAAGGACTCTGTCACTTTTTCCACTTCTGTAAGTCATACAGGTTGGAGTCTCTTGATATGTGATATGGAAGGAGGAGGAATATGATGTGTTTTTATGTGTTTTTCACTTTCCCTGCCAGTCACACTGGAGCCACCAGAAAAAGTAATGACATGGCAGTGCCAGCCTTTTCCAGACAGCTGGGCCAAAACCTTCATAACTAGTGATAAAGAATACAGGCATCCCTACAAAAAAACAAGTTTCTGTAGCGTAAGACATTTGGCTCTTGTTTTTAGGTGCTAGGCATGTACAGAGACTGACTCAAAATCAATGATGACTGTGGGGACAGAAGGGGGAACCTAGCTGCTGGAGGGGAAAAATCTTTCTTTTTCTTGCTTTTGATTCACAGTGAGTTGTTTTTTTTTGTCCTCTGTGTTAACAGCCCCATAGAAGCTGTAAAGATGTCAGAGAAGTGACAAGCAGCACCAATAGGAACCACAAACAGCTTGTCAGGGATTAGTATTCACAGAATGGGGGGATCTAATTATACTGATCACAACAGAAAAGTCTGTATGGAAGAAGGTTCTGAGGGCCAAATGGGAAATCGAATGGAATAAGAGCTCAGTCATTCAGGAGCTTTCACTAGTTTGAAAAAGATGTTAAAGCAACTGATGTGCTGAGAAGAGGACAGTTACAGTAAGCATACGTGACTGGTAGGGCTGCACAGGGGTGCACATGCCCCCTCTGCCTGAAACTGATGCTGCCAGTAGGGCTGGTGCCCCCCGATAGGGTCGGTGGCTTCTGCGGGTGTCCCCCCAGATTCAGGAGGCACCAGTCACTCATGACAGTAAGTGAGCATTTGGTCTGAATTGTGTCTGGCCTCTCCCATACCCTACCACACACATGCATACCGTAAAGCATGAGTTTGGACATTGCTCCAAACTGTGTGCAGAGCTGAAGAGGGAATGGGAAATATTATACAGCAAGATTGAAATAAGTGACAGGCAAAACCTATTTTGTGGTTCTTGTGGGTTGTTTTTTTTTTGTCATTTAACCCAGGATGTTTGTAAAGAGTTTTCTTTGTATGGCTGCTTTGAATTCAGACATTGCTGTAGATTCAGTTCTCTGCCCTCCCCTTTTCCAAATCAGGCAATTTTTGTTTGCGAAGGAGAGATACAGCTGTGCTTTTTGGGCTCTGAATTGCCAGTGCCTAAGTTGGCTGTGCTGGTATTAGTATTGACCCTTTTGCTCAAAATCAGCCCATCCCAGTGGAAGAACAAGGACAACAGCAAGTCCTTTTTTAAATAAATAGGAGGCAAAAAGAAGGTACTGAGTAATGTGGGGCCCCTGCAAGACACGCTAGGAAATCTGGTCATTGACCCAGACGACAAAGCTAACCTATTTAACGACTTCTTTGCCTCCATTTTCCTGAGCAGGGACCGGATCAGGCTCCCCTCAGGCCCCAGGGGAAGGTGCACCGAGGCCAAGGGTCAGGGAGGATCTAGTCAGGGAACTTCCGGAGGGACTGGATGTATTTCAGTCAGCTGGTCCGGAAAATCTCCACCCCAGAGTGCTGAGGGAATTAGCTGAGGTCGTTGCGGGACCCCTGGCATGGCTTTACAAGCACTCA